GCTAAAAGCAAGTAAGCTCAAGACGGAGCGTGTGCTCGGAGTTTCAATTTTGATGGCTAATAGTTTATTTTTGCAATTCTCCCCCCACCCCCACCCCCACCCCGCCGCCTCAGTAACTCTTATATCGGCTCTACAAAAGATCTAGATGGCTTCTTCATTGGGGTATTGCAGTATGTGCTAGCTTAATACAACAAACATCTATTTGGTCTCATAGGACTCACAGCAACAACAAAAATACAGTCACTATGGTCAGAAAAGCTGAAAAAGAGTCACAGAAATTCTTCAGGAAGTATCATAAGTTTCCATTTAGCACTCACTACTCCTGTCACCGTGTTTAAGAAACAATGTACCAAAGCTTTTAATATGTTAACACACATCTGCATGCTAAAGTAAATTAGGTAAAGGCTCAGCTGAGAGACTCTTGTCCATGATTGTTTATGGGAGGGCTGCCAAAGTAGATGAAGCTAATTGAACTAGATGCATGTACTAGGCAACAAAAATGGTCAAACAGGCATCTGGTTGGCCATTGTGAGAATACTGGACTAGATGGGCCCCTGGCCTGATCCAGCAGAATATTCTTACGTTCTTACTTAAGACTAGTTTGTAGGCAAAAAAATAGTGCAGAAAAATGAAAACACAGATTAATGTTTGGGACTTGGTATACGGCTGCTTCCTACCAAAGCAATTGTCCTAGACACTGTTTAATAATAATAATAACAATAGCCCTACTATGCAAGTTCAAGCTTAAGAGAATTGTTACGATGGATAATTAAGTCCACAGTTCATATCGCTTAACAAGGAGAATTAACACCATTGGGACTTTTAGTCTTAGGAAGTGGCCTTGGGCCAGTCACTATCTCTCATTTTACCCAACTTCTCAAATTTGTTGTGAACAAAAATTGGGGGTGGTGACTACTATGTACTTTGAGAACCTTGGAGGAATATGAGGACAGCAAGTAAGGCTGAGGTTACTATAGTTCCTCATTGCTTTACTTCCCCCAACAAGTCCTATCTAGTTCAGCATCGGCCAGCCAGGTAACTCCTAAAGCTCATAAGCAAGGTATGAAAGCTACCTATTGTTTATTCACCGCACATGGTACTCAGGAAAATATTACCTCTAGGGGACCAGTTAATTGCTGCAATTCTAGAGAAATCTTCACTCAATGCAACTTCAGAACATACTTTCTACAGGTGCAGAACCCTAAGTGGAGGCCTCCTACGAATATCCCAATAACTGGGAAGAGTCAAATGGAACCCACAAACGTCTTCAAGAAGGGCACTCGCATTGTCTTGCAAACTACAGAAGTGATCTGAGCACCCCAAATGAAAAGCGCTTGAATATTTCACACTGACACTTTGAAGATTTTAACAAAAAGGCAGAAATGTCCCAACAGCAACCATGTTAATTTGGCCAGGTGAACCCAAGTCCATAAAAAGTACCATATTTTTCGCTCTATAACACGCACCTGACCATAACACGCACATCGTTTTTAGAGGAGGAAAACAAGGGAAAAAACATTCTGAATGAAACAGTGGATGTATCATTTTTGTGCTTCATGCTGTGGCCACAGACATGTGATCTGATGGTGAATTTGGGGTGACCCAATGCAAAAATCCTGATAATTCCTGTGGATCCATGCTTTGTAACCACGTTTTTGCACCATTGCAGCCCCAGGCAACAGTGGGTGCGTGCTTTTTTTGGTGCAGGCTGTAGCCATGGACATGCTATGTGATCTGATGGTGAATTTGGGGTGACCCAATGCAAAGATCCTGAGAATCCCTGTGGATCCATGCTTTGTAACCACATTTTTGCACCATTGCAGCCCCAGGCAACAGTGGGTGCGTGCTTTTTTTGGTGCAGGCTGTAGCCATGGACATGCTATGTGATCTGATGGTGAATTTGGGGTGACCCAATGCAAAGATCCTGAGAATCCCTGTGGATCCATGCTTTGTAACCACATTTTTGCACCATTGCAGCCCCAGGCAACAGTGGGTGCGTGCTTTTTTTGGTGCAGGCTGTAGCCATGGACATGCTATGTGATCTGATGGTGAATTTGGGGTGACCCAATGCAAAGATCCTGAGAATCCCTGTGGATCCATGCTTTGTAACCACATTTTTGCACCATTGCAGCCCCAGGCAACAGTGGGTGCGTGCTTTTTTTGGTGCAGGCTGTAGCCATGGACATGCTATGTGATCTGATGGTGAATTTGGGGTGACCCAATGCAAAGATCCTGAGGATCCATGTGGATCCATGCTTTTTAACCACGTTTTTGCACCATTGCAGCCCCAGGCAACAGTGGGATCTATGCTTTGTAACCACATTTTAAGTGGGGAGCGAAGGAAAAACAAAGAAGGGACATGAGAGGGCAGAGAAGCAGCTGGCTAAGAATGCTGGAGAGGGATTTAACCGGTGGGAGGAAAGAAAGGCAAAAGTTCCCCCCCAAGCCAGCCATCTCTCTCTCTCTCTCTCTCTCTCTCTCTCTCTCCCTCCCTCCCTCCCTCCCTCCCTCCCTCCTTCCCCCCTCTCTCTCCCTCCCCCCTCTCTCTCCCTCTCCCTCCCCCCTCTCCCTCTCCCTCCCCCACTCTCTCTCCCTCTCCCCCAGCAGCACCGGAGCACAGAGAGGAATTAGAAAGATCGACACTCTGCTTGCCTGGAGGGGAGGGGCTTTCCCTGCTCTTTGTTCCGTTTCAGCAATCACAGCAACGAAACAGAGGAGGGTGGGCAGTAAGACCCTGAGGCAGAATGCAGGAAAGCAGCCACTTCCTCTTTTCAGGTTTCCCTTCTCCGTGACTCGCGATTTGACTTTTGCTTGATTTTTTGGCTCCAGGGACCACACATTCGCTCTATAACACGCACAGACATTTCCCCTTCCTTTTTAGGAGAAAAAATCTGCGTGTTATAGAGGGAAAAATACGGTAGTCAGTTTCTATACCCAAGATTTCATGGGTAACCCAACGATGGCCGTTTAAGTTATGTTTTTCCCTCTTCAGCAACCTCTTCCCCATCCCCTCTAAAATCTTTTGAAAACTTTCTAAGCTACCCAAATAGGCAGACAAATAGGGAGCTGCTGAATAGGAAAAAGATACTCAATACCCCCCTCCACCACAAACAAATGAGTCACCTCATTTGAATTGTGTAATCCACTCTACTTCAGTGTTAAGATCCCAGCGCATCCCATTAACTGGAAATTTTCTATGGCATCTTAAAATGCCTTTTTAAAAAGAGGTAAGTGCTACACTTCAGTAAAGGGGAAAAAATCTGACAGGCTGTTAAATCACACAAAAGTGCCATTTGATATGCCCGATGCTCTCCCACCACTGAAAAATACGCAGAGAATAATGTCCTTCTCAGAACTATGGGAAAGGTTATTGATGCTGCTCACGGTACATACATAAAGTCCCATCCTCTCCTAAATACTATCCTTCTCACTTTATACCATTTTTCAGAAAAATGTGCTCCTACTTGATCTCAACTTTTACATCACCACAAATTTTCTCAGAATAGAGGAGGTTTTTATACAAAAAAATCATTTTACAGAAGTGAAAGCAATTCAGGTAAAAGTGAAGCAAGCCATCAGCTTTAGGAGACTCGTTTTTCATATGGTTTCTTTATACTTGGAAATACATTTATTTTGTGTGGATCATGTTACAGCATCTGAGTATATAATGGGAAGTCAGACGATACAACCTTTTTTTAATGAGTATCAAGTATAATGTCTTTTCCAGGTACTCTCTGAAATCTGTTTACCACACATTCATGAAACACTTGAGGTGCACCACAAAAGAAAAATGATAACACCGATCTACTGAGATCATCACTTTGATAAATCTCCACACTAATGAGTTAGTTCAGGACTATTCAATGCCAGACATTCTGTGTGTAGAATTTAAATGCTTAGGTGACACCTTCCACTTTGAATTACAAATTACTCTCATGAAACTTGATTTTAATGGTATGATGATCAAGAACAAAGCATAATAAATTACCAAAAGTAGGTCTACATGTACCGCTATTGATGACCACATATTATTTTATCATAAAAAGCTATTTTAATATTTTCACATCTGTAAATACAAACCAAGGCACTGCCAAGGTGGTAGTGACTAAATTCATAACTTTTAAAAATACCTGCCAAACCATATCAAAGTTACTCCGAAGTACATAACTAAACATTCTTTGTGAGAACTGATGCTATCGAGATTACAAAATGTGAAAGTTCAGAAATCCAGCCATAGTCTGAAAGAAAATCCATGACTTTATTGCTACGAGAAAAAGAGAGTAGTCAGGACCACACTGAAAACTAAATTGAACATCAATTTTTTTTGTTTCTGATATCTGAGACTTCTAAGCAAGCATTTGATTTAGAATGCCCGAACTCAATAATGGCAGGAGTTCAATTATCACTTTGTGCCTCTGAGTACAAAATGGCCAGTGAAACTTGTACCAACAAGTATTCTCATATTCTGCTATATGCATATGCAAATTCATTATCTGACCACTATGCTTTTTCTGTATAGGTACCCAAAGGCTCCTATACTCCCCCCCCCCTTTCAAAATATTGATCACTAGTGAAAGTAATTGAATAAAGTTCTACTGTACAGTTGATAAAACAAAATTATGATTTAGGACAGTGATTTAGAGCTTTTCTACTGCATACACATTATCTAAAATACAGCAACAGCCTCTATTTGAATAATAAGGTTAAAAAAAAAAGTTTATCCAAAATATAGTTGTTGTGAACGCTGAAAAAAGTGATGCACAAAATGTCTATTTCTTTCTCTTTCCCCACACATGTCATCTATGTGTAAATTGTGCTAAGAAAACTTTCAAGTTAAGATGTCACAAACTAGTCAATTATATTTACAGGGGACTACTTATTAATCACATGCACTGCTGAGCCTCTGAGCATTCAAGGTGAGACAGAGATGTAACATAGAGGAGGACATGAAAGAAAGAAGGGGATGAAACTAAGAAGCTGTGTTTTGTCTCTGAACTTACCGCTGGCATTCCCCAGCATGCAAAACTAGATCTTCATTGTTCTTTGCACTAACTGTGAGCTCATGTTCTGTTGAGTTGAAGACATCAAGGAGGAGATGGCACTGGCGGGTACTGTTTGAAGAGATTTAAACAAACAATGTTGAGGTTTTAACAATCATCACAGAGTTACGATAACAGGAAAACATTAATCGTTATTATTAAAGGAAAGGAACAGTCTGTGATCAAGTCAGTGTTCTTTTTCCATTGCAGCAAATCTCAGCACTTCTCAGAGCAGTGACTATTTAACATTTTAGCTATCATGTCCCAGTCACTGTTCAAATTCAAGTATCACAGTAAACTATGGTTTAATGAGACGTCAGCTTCCTTCTGGTATCAGGTGTTCTCTTCCTCCTCCCACACAGCTGAGATGAGCATGGAGATGTTTGCTTTCAGTTTTAGTTAACTGTGGCTTCTTGTGTCATCGGTAAACTCAAGCTGTGATTCAAGTTACCTATGGTTAGTTTAAAAGAGCTCAAACTGATTTCTCTAGCTGGCTTGTTTAAACTAACCATAGTTAACACGAGCTGCCATTTCTGGTGTGGGTAACATGGGAATCCACAATTAAAGGCATGGAAACCCATAGTTAAGGTGTCTGAACTCATCCACTCAGCTATGCTGGAGGAGAAGGAGTATGCACAAACCAAAGGCAGTCACATTGCAGAGCACATTACAGTAATCCAACATTGATGAAACTAAGGCACTGTAGCCAGGATCAGGACTGGGTGCAGCCAGTATACTAGCCTAAACTGAGCAAAAGCATTGCTGGTCACTGCCACATCATGATCATCCAGATGTAAAGCTGTATTTAGGAGCACTGCCAAACTGCAAACCACGTTTCTCAAAGGGAGTACAACCTCATACAAAACAGGCTGAATCTCTACTCCAGTGGTATCTGTTAGGGTGAGATTAAGGGCTGGATTGTCAGGATCCATTAAGGCAATTCTTATTTTGTTAAAAATCACCCTATTGTACTAACAGTGAGAGTATCAGAGGGAAGAATGTACAATTTAAGAATGAATTTTAATCTGCTACTGTTTGAGTTATGGTGCTGGAGGAGACTCTTGATAGTCCCATGGACTGCAAGAAGATCAAGCCTATCCATTCTTAAGGAAATCAGATCTGAGTGTTCAGTGGAAGGACAGATCCTGAAGCTGAGGCGCCAATACATTGGCCACCTCATGAGAAGAGAAGTCTCCCTTGAAAAGACCCTGATGTTGGGAAAGATGGAGGGCACAAGGAGAAGGGGACAACAGAGGACGAGATGGTTGGACAGTGTTCTCGAAGATACCAGCATGAGTTTGACCAAACTGCGGGAGGCAGTGGAAGAAAGGAGTGCCTGGTGTGCTCTGGTTCATGGGGTCATGAAGAGTCGGACACGACTAAACGACTAAACAATAACAGTGTTTGTAACTAGCTGATGGCCCTAAATCCAGATCATTAGGGCTACAGCATGGATGTATGATCTCATGCATTTGGTGTCAGCGTTATAAGTAACTGTGCTTGGATAATGAGTCACACAATGCCCTTAAACTTTTTAATTCTCCATTTGCCTTAACCATACTTCTTCACTAGATGTGCATATGTGACACATTCTAGGTTTACTCAAGTCATTTTGAGAAAGCACCATTTTTTGAAGAATTAAAATCTATTACAGTGCTATCATAACTTGATAAAATCTTCAAGCATTGAAAAACATTTCATCAGCAAATGAATATATAAAGCATTCATCACTGGAAGAGAGAGAGAAAAAACTAAATTCAATTGAGTAGAGGAGATGAGACAGGCAACTACTATTGCTTTATTCATTAGCAACGCTAAAATAGAAACTCATAAAATTTAACTGAACCGAATGACAGACTGCTCCAGTTTGGAAAGAGGCAGATTTGTTGAATTTTTGGCATTAGGAGAAGCAGCTGAATTACGCCAAATTTCTCCCAACAGGCAGAAATGTTCTATTTCATAATGCATGAAACCAATAGAAGGTATATTATATCCATGCTGCATGACAAAAAAATAAACTGAGAAGCGGATGTCTTCTGCTGTTAGGTTCTTCCACCGCTCTTCACGGGTGGAAGAGTCTAAGCCTGCTATGCTATCATGGGATGGTCATAAACACTGTAACTGCTGAAAGGAATGATTCTGTTACAGAATGCTGGCTGTTTCTATGAAAAGGTCAATGGGTTTTTTTAGGGAAATCTCCATGTGAGAACTAGAGAGTGGCTGTGTATTTTTTGCTAAAAATGAAATACATGCAGACAGGAGAGTCAAGCATTCCTGGAAACTGGACTAGCGAGATGAGTTAAGAGTGGCTGGATGCATAGCCTGACTGTCTGTCTACAGGCACTGCGGTCGTCTGCAAGGGATTTCCACATGGCAAGGTTGATGTTCCCAGCAATTAATGAGGTATCCGTATTGTGGCCTTGCCACCGTGCTGTGGAACAGGAGTCTCCAGGCTAAGAAACAGAGAGCCTAAAGTGTGGTGGTTATGTCGAATCACCAGGATCACATTGCAGAACTAGGGCTTGAACACAGTTAGATTACTTAGGAATATACAATTTTTGAAACTGTCCGCTGATTTGTATTATGACTGACAGGAAAGGAGGGAACATAGGGAAATAATGGTCAGGATACAGTGGACTACTGACAACTGCAATGTGAGAACATGACAGAAAGGTAATCATAGAATCTTAGAGTTGGAAGGGACCCAAGGGTCATCTAGTTCAAGCCCCTGCAATTCAAGAATCTCAGCTAAAGTATCCATGACAGATGGCCATCCAACCATATGAATCCAAGTTAAGAGATGGATTCCAAAGAAGAAAATGGATTAGTACTTTCTAGAAGAGCCACTCCGAAACTGATGATATGATTACTTAATCTCTCCAATCTGCAATTATTATCTTTTTTAAAAGCCACTTTAGTACTATTTGTAAATTGCTTTGAAAACAGATATGGAAAACCAGGGTGCAAATACTGTAAACAACTTTTTAAAAGCTAGGCAAAAGTTCGTGAGTAGCTCATAACTTATACAAATATGTGATTTCAAGCAAAATTAATCACACTAGTTTAAAACAAATAAAACTTTGTTTCATAATTTGCAGTGCTCAAGTCTTACAATCAGCAGGCATTGTGGATCATAAACTGAGAAACAAGCTGTTTTTTAAAATAACACCAGTTCACAGATGTGTGGACAGAGAGTCCCTATGTGTCAATGAAGTGTAGGAATGAGATGCAATTTGTATTAGTAGTGGGAAAATTGTAGAAGTGCAGGAGCACTGTATGTCACCAAAACCACAAATAATGAGCATTATAAAAAAGGAGTATTTAAATGTACATTCACATCAATACTTGTACAGCGACAACACATTTTGTAAAAAATATGAAGGAACATAAAAGAATTCTGGCAATGTTGTTGTTGTTGTTTAATCGTTTAGTCCTGTCCGACTCTTCGTGAAGAGGCTTGAATAACTCAGAGAAGCTATGAGCTATGCCATGCAGGGCCACCCAAGACTGACAGGTCATAGTGGAGAGTTTTGACTAAACGTGATCCACCTGGAGCAGGAACCAGCAAGCCACTCCAGTATCCCTGCCAAGGAAACTCCATGGACAATTCTGGCAATATCTCCACCTAAAGATTTATTCATCCATATTATTTCTGGACCTAGCTCAACAAAAGTACTTAGGAGGTTTCTTGACCTCTAACAAAACACAACATGGTTTTATATGGCTAATGCCATAATCCAACGCAGCAACGTGCAGTTCTTCTAATAAACAGAGTGAGAGCTTTGTTTCATACTTTCACTGTGTTGCTGTTCATTTTCAAAAAGGTTGTATCTCCGACACACTGTGAGCCTAGTTGTGCTGCTGAATGGCATCACAGTTTAGCTTATAAACTAAGGGTCATATCCATTGCTGAAGCTCTGCTGGTGCAACAAACTTCTGTGCATGCTACAGAGCTTCTTCTTTCTCTTCTCTCCCTTCCAACTGCCACATCCTCAAAATCAGCTCTGGAGGGTTGGGAAGCCTGTTTTTCTGGGTGCACAGTGGGGAATGGGAATGGAAGTCCTACTGCACTAGTGAATGCCTCACTGATTCAGTGCTGGGTACAACCCTTAGTGAATTTATATATGCTGGTATTTCTACTGAACACTACCTATTATGCAAAAATACAATGCTGAAGTAGGCTCAATGAAAGCATTAACTTTCACTGAAATCCATTCTCAGCTATATTATGTAGCTTGCGTTATGATAAAAACAATACTATGTGACAAAATTATTAAGTACTTTAAGAGGAAATAGTAATAATAATAATACTGATATAATAGAGAGAGCAAAAGAAAAAGCTTGTTTAAAGCAAAGATTAATTGCAACATCAATAAAAGAGGAGAAATAGATAATTGTGCAAGCCCCGAAGTATTCTTTAAACTTTAACATGGTTTTAAAGAAATTGGAAATTAACATGTAGGAAGGCAGTATACTGGCCAACTTTTAGGTCATTAGGGCAACTTCATTCAGATGCACTGGGTCACTTCTATGAAATTATAAGCACACTGGTTCAAAAAAGGAAACAAATTTTTTCATTTTTGCTGATTAGCTTTTAGCTGTGTACAGATACATGGGACCCTTGAGAACACACAAGAGGAAACTATTTCTCAATTAATAGTAATCTACTTTGGTATATTACAGGAATAAGATTGCTGTCCCAATATTGCTGCTGCTACTACTACTATTATATTGATGTTATATAGAGAAATCCTTCCCCCTTCCCACACAAAAGTAAGCTTTTTTAAAATAACACACCTTGTTGCAGGCAGAGTACTAACACGTGTAAAGAAGACAGACGGCTCCACATCTACATGAAGTCCCAGAGACAAGTTCCTGTAATAGCCATCGACATGTCCTGGACCTCCTGAGTATTTGAAGTTCAAGATGGCTTCCAGCGTCTACAAAAACAACAGTAAAAAGTTTAAATCTGCTTTTTTTCTATTCTAAAATATACAGTTGATTTCTATCACCTTTCCATTGCTGAGCACCAAGTATCACTTTGTGCTTCCACTAACAATACTGTTCTGGCTACCCTGATGTAAATACAACAGGGGCTTTAGGAAATATAACAGGATGATCTCAAAGATTACAGTCAGCTATGGTACATCATAACATCTGCCTTAAAAGGGGGGGGGGGAAGACCACCTATAAATGCAATTTAAAAACAAATTCACAGAACCATATTTTAGGTAATGGGATTTACTATGAATGGATTCCATTTGGTAAATGAACAGGGACATGCAATTGTTTCATTATGCACCAAATTCGGAACTACTGGTGTCATTCCTGCACTTTACTGTACTTACATTGCTTTAAGCACCTGTGGTAAAGTAGGACATTGGCTCACAATAATGTGTCACTGTTTCACCAGAGAGCTAAGGAAGAATAAGCCTGCATTCACAGACGATTAACTCTACCTTGAAATTTATGGGTATATCGGTTGTAACTTAGCTAACCTTATATCTGATTTCACACAGTCACACAATTTGTTTTTTTGCTTAATCACAATCAAATGATACGCAGCATGGCTAATCTTACATCACCACAACATAGAAACTGGACAACTTGTGCAACCATTAATGTCATGTCTAGAAAATAATCACTAGGCAATACGTTCAAAAACGAAGAAAAACACCCTACAAACATTTCCAGGTTAACAAAATGCTGAGTTAAAATCGGCAGTTTCAGAAAGCTGACATTGCTTAAGACAAACTTGTAGTATTGAAAATATTTTTTTTTATTTTTTTGCTGGTGACATAATATTTTGTAAAGTGTGGCAAAGTACAGATTTCACTCTTTTCTTCTATATCCCAAAACTGATGATGTCCTGCTGTTATGCGGGGCAACCTGTACAAAACCGATTGAATAGCAAAACTGAATTCCTTTGAAGTGCTTTCTTCTACACGGAAGAAAAAGAAAGTGAAATAATTGCAGAATCCAAGAAACAAAAACAAATGCTGAAGTTGATGTGTTTTTAATGAAACTCCTGCATAAAAAACAGCTCCATTAGTGCTAGGCCTTTGGGCAAACATCTGGGGCTCCGCAGCACCATCCTCAGGGAGACCATCAAACTTTGTAGCTTGGCTTTCTTCTCCCCATCCCTTGACTGAGTCCAAAGTGTCCACTGCTTTTCTCTCACTTAAAATCACCACTGAGCTTGAATTTCAAAAGGAGCGAAATGCAAAACTGAAACTGTGCCCCAAGTAATGATTTCAGCAAACATCTTTTGGCAGCGAATCTGCCTTGGTTACCAGGTGCCACTAGAAAAACACAGCTGAGACTAAAGTAAGAAGGGTATTGCACTATATGCATGTTTCCCACTTCCATCTCAGCTCCCTGTTCAAACTGGCAGCCCGCAGCCCAGCTATGGGTGTTGCCAAGATCTGGTCTTTCATTAAAACTGCTGCCAGAAGGCATGGCTATAATTTAAAAGTGTCAGGAGCAACCAGTGCCAAAGGGGAGAACCTGTTCAACCCAGAAGTAAGCCAGCCCAGAAACTTTGCATGTCAGGCAAACACATGGGGTTAAGATTCCCATGTTTGCCACTGAAAATCTAGCATTGCTTAAATCATTCAAAATATCATATTGGGGCTTTGAGGACTAGAGATGTCTCTGGGACATCTTGCCTTGAAGGCCAGCAGGTGTCAGAGCACTAGAATGACCTGCTGGCATTTGGAATAGAAACCGAATTACTGGAAATGCATCAGAACGTCCATAGGTAATTTGACAGTGTTAAAGTACAGCTATTAGAGGCAGTTTTCCATACTCACTGCCTGAAGTTACTTCAATGCAAGATGCTTAGGAGTTCTCGTTTTGAAGTCAGGAATTATGCTATTTGAGTGATTTCATGCACCATTTTTGCATCTTCACAAAGGATTGGGAAAAAATATGCTAACAAGTAAGCATATGTGGATGTTTGCTCAGCTTTCTTGAAATGGAAAATGCCTTGGCTACTTAAACAACAAAGAGTTCTGGGGCACCTTAAAATCTAACACATGTATTATGACATAAGCTTTTGTGGACTAAGGTCTACTTCGCAAGAAGCTCCTAAACTGTCATCCATTTATCAACAGATTTATGAGCGGAAGGGCCTATTTTCAGGTCTTTCAATCATGTTGAGAGACCTGAAGCAAAGGAGAGGGAAACCCTTTTAGATGGAGAGAAAGAAAAACACTTGTTGGTCTCCAATATGTGCCTCAGCTCCTGGGTAGCAGAGCTACTTCCTCTGTCTCTCTCAATGGGAGTTAGCAGCTTGCAGGTTCAATTGTGGTTAAGCAACCACTCTGCCTCATTTCCACCCCAAAGGTGGAGAGATGAGTGAAGATGGGCAGCTGGACAGTGATGCTCATTAGCCTGTTTTGCTTCAGCAGCATTAGCCTGTTTAGCTTCTATGCAAGAGGAAGAGACGCCAATCACAGAAGCTGCACCAGGAAAGGAAAGCCATCTTTCCATAAGAACCCTCTTCTCTTCTCAGTGATGCCACTTCCATCAAACTTTATGGTAAGGCACAACCAGAGCATTGTCCGAGTATCTGCCTGAAAGGGTGCATCTCACACACAAAAGAAATAAACTATAAATAAAAAGGAAAAATTGAAAGCTGTCACAATAATTGAGATACAATCGATGCCAGAACTCTACTGCTTCTAGCCTGGCAAAGCTGATATGGTAGCAGAACACAAAAATTCTGGTCTTCTGTAATTCCCAGAAATTAGAGAAATGGGAAATAAGGGGACAATAAATCCAGCAAGTAAAGATGCACAGATATTTTTATTCCAGAGCAACTCAGGTTGGTCAAACCATTGCACAAGTGCTATAAAACAGGCAAAGTGTACCTCCTCAGCAGTAGCTCGCTTTTATTTTCAGAAAGGTAACCAACTTATACCAGCTGCTATTCAGATTTTTCAAGCTAATAGTGATTTAGATAAGATACACTCAAGTTGATTGAGATGTATCCTGGGGCTCCCAAGTTCAAGCAAGTATGAGACGATGTGTGCAGAACTAGGTATAAACACGATGGAATATTGGGTGTGAGCTAGCACTATAAAATCCTGGTTGCGCTCCCATTTTCGTTGTCAAACTTCGAGTCTGCTCTCTGACTTACTTAAGGACTCTTATAAATCCAGATGCTTCCAACTCTTACATAGCAAAATCAGATATATTGGTATTGACTTCGAACTCTTGTATAATTCAAGTGAGCAATATATTTATCTCAATATTCAAACCAGATTAAGGAACACTGAAAACAAAACATTGAGTCAGCTGTAAATAAAATTTGCTCTTCCAAATTCTATGGTTTTAATACAACAGATAACAGGGTGACATATATCTCAAAATTAATAATTCCAGTCCAACACAGGGCCTTTATGTTAGGCCGATTGAACATTTCCCCCTCAGAATTAGTCAAGGGCAGATATTTAAACATCCCTAGAAATGATAAACATTGTGGATGTTCTTTGAATGTGCTGGGCATTGTAGAACATTTTCTTTTCTACTTTTCAGCTACACAAAGGTATGCTATTCCCATTTTGGGGGCAGTCTAACATCACGGCACAATGAAATATCAGATTCTACCTATTATTTGTATATATTTTAAATTTTTATATCTAATGTTTTATGATGGCCTATACTTGTAGAGGGACGCGGGTGGCGCTGTGGGTTAAACCACAGAGCCTAGGACTTGCCGATCAGAAGGTTGGCGGTTCGAATCCCCGCAATGGGATGAGCTCCCGTTGCTCGGTCCCTGCTCCTGCCAACCTAGCAGTTCAAAGGCACGTCAAAGTGCAAGTAGATAAATAGGTACTGCTCCATTGGGAAAGGAAATGGTGTTTCCATGCACTGCTCTGGTTCGCCAGAAGCGGCTTAGTCATGCTGGCCACATGACCCGGAAGCTGTACGCCGGCTCCCTCAGCCAATAAAGCGAGATGAGCGCCACAACCCCAGAGTCGGTCACGACTGGACCTAATGGTCAGGGGTCCCTTTACCTTTATACTTGTAATGCCTAATAAAGGTCTGGCGAAGTAGGAAAGAAAGATCAGGGAGCAGAGAAATCACTCTTCTCAGTGTCATTCCTGCTAGAAGCCCTGTTGATCTACAAAGAGGAGGCACTTTCTAAAATAAAGACTGTCACAGCCTAGAACCACCAGAGAATGTCATTTGTTGAGCTCACTTTGGTCTCATTCCTGTTCTTGAAGATACTTATGGTACTTTTTTGTTTCTTCATCAGGTCCTTTAAGCTCCTCCAGAATTTGCATAGCTACTGTTTATCAGCTCACTCATTTAGACACTCACTCAGGATGAAAGGGAGAAACACACTAAGAGGAAGGCACGCTTGGCAAACCCTCACCATGAACAATTCCCTCCCGGAAAGCTATGTCCCCATTGTGGAAGGACATGTGGATCCAGAATTGGCCTCCACAGTCACTTACGGACACACCATTAAGACCATGTTCATGGAAGACATTCTTATTCGGCTACGAGTGATTGCTGAAGAAGAAGAGGAGAGTCACAACACTTTCTTCAGGCACTCTCTTATCCTCAGATGTTCATGTTGAGCCTGATATATGCTAGCTCACACAGCCTTTTTAAGTGAGCCAGCCCTCAGAGCCTGAAGAATCCCTGGGGCATGGCTCTAATAGCAAGATGCAGGCACACAGAAGTGGTAAGACTTCTATCTCAGAGAATGAGCTACTTTGTGCATCCAATGACCCTTCCCTTCCGATTCTATGAATTAGTTGTTATAGAAGACCATGAAGACCATGAATACAGCAAGAGACAACATTTGCTGACCCACACAAAGAGTTCCTTAAAAATGTGATTTTTTTAAAAAGTGAATTACTTTAGTCTGGACATGGGGAAAGAGTAACAATTCTGCATTTTTATACAGTATCTCTTATTCTCA